CCCCCCCCCCCCCCCCCCCCCCCCCCCCCCTCCCTCTGTGTGTCCCCCCCTCTCTTCCCATCTCGCTCCAACTTCGTCCGTTCATCCATACCGCCTCAAACCAAACCACCAAAGCGCGTTGTCGGGACACCCGGCAGACGGTTCTCCCCAGATCAAGCGCATGATCGAAATCGCGGACCCCCACAAGACGCTGGAAGAACTGGCCTACACGAGCGAGATCGAGCTGTCTCAGGTGTGCGACGGATATGCCTTCTCGGCAAGGTTGTTGCTGCTCTTGCGGGTGTGTTGTGTGCCAGAGACCCACACCAACTTAGAAAATACTCGGGACGAGCCGACCAAATCCTGTTGCGGCCTTTACCATACAGTAGCATTTCCTACATTTGCGCACTGTTTCCTACGTTTACGCCCGCACGCGCGACAAATTGAAAGACGCGAAGACAAACAAGAATATTTCCAAAATTGACAGTGGTTCATCACGCGGCAACCGATTTCTTGGCGTGCAGATGCTTCGTTTGGCACGGCACCTTGTGTTCTGGGGGTCCGGGCGGGTGATCGACGCTCTCTGCGGCAGCAATCGGTACCAGGTGACTCGCGCTGTTGCTTTTGCTGCTCGTGTTGCTGCTTTGCCGTTTGATTGTTGCTGTTGCTGTTGCTATCGACTTTTTGTTGTTGCTGTTGATGTCGAATGTTTTTTATGGTGTCGCTGTTGCTGTCGACGTTGATGTCGTTTTGCTGTTGCTGTTGACGTCGAATAGTCTATTGCTGTTGCTGTTGATGTTTGGTAATGCTGTTGATGTTGATGTTGACTGCTGCTGTTGCTGGTGTCGTCGAAAGATGCTGTTGATGTCGATGTCGATTTCGATGCATGCGTTGCTGTTTGCTGTTGATGTGCACTTTTGATTCCGGCGTCCATTCCCTCATTCAAGAAGTACCCCCTTTTCTGCTCCTTCGAAAGAAGTAATCGCATCTCGACGGGCAGCCACAACCGAATTGAATTGTTCTCTATCGAATCACTTCAGAGAGGGACACTGGAATAGGAGGAATGAGATGTGATCGCCCTCTTAATGGAGATGGGGTCGTAAGTGTGCGTCGCCCAAGCAACAGTCCCCCTCCCCACCTCGAAAGCATCTCGCCGAATACCTCACGGCGCTTCGCGCTTGATGTGAGAGCCTGGCTCACCCGTGCTCCGTTTCGGCCTTGTAGGGATGCGAGACCCCCCCCCCGGTGTTTGCCATCGGGGTTGGGTTTTCGTCGCTTGGCAACGACGTTGTAAAACAAGCCGCCCCCCCCGGTGTTTGCCGTCGGGATTGGGTTTCGTCGCTTGGCAACGACGTTGTAAAACAAGCCAATTCACTTCGTGAACTCGGCAACCAGGGTACCGTTCTTGTTTTTTACCTCCGTTTTTTTCTTTGGCGGTAACCATATTGGTGGTCGAGTAGATCATGTTGTGCGGG